CTGGGTATTTATGGTTGTTAACCTTTCATAAATAGATGACCCCTCTCTCCCTCAGAATACTTGGGAATTGGTGAAAACACGTGCATGGCACTCTTCCATGCCAAAAACACAAATATGGTTGTGAAAATGACCGGAGGTGTCAACATCCCTGTAAAATTACGAATGCCATCCCTTTCTGTGTAGTAGTCCACGGGGTTTTCTGTGGGCCTCAATGGGGATGTGGCTGACGTCTATCGCTCCACCACAATGAGGAACTTTTCAAACCGTTTATGAATGAATTTGGGAGCTCACACAGGCACTTTAATGTATTCGGAAGCAATCTTTAACTATGCACACTCAGTATCAAACATAATGATACCTTCATACTCCAAACAATTCGCCAATTGTTCGGTTAGTGTTGCATTGTGGCCAGAAACCAAGAGTGACAGCTACTTCATTTTATTGATTATACTGATTCGAATAAACCATGTCATTCTTCTATTCTGAAACGTTAGACTTTGACATTCTTAAGTTTGTGATTCCAGTCCTGGATCAATAAATGTTCCATTAACAATCTTATCCACCCACTCTGAGCTTCTCTCACTCTAGCTTCTTGACGGTGTCAGAATGCTGAAACTACCAAACTACATAGGGTGAATGAGGCAAAAAGCATTCTCTGCTGAGCTTGCTTTCCCGCCGTTGAAATGCTTCTTCTACGCTATTCAGTGCTGCCCTCTGCAGCAAACGCCTTCCCAAATCATTTCAATATTCAGCAACTCAGCAAGCTCTCTTCACCTCTCATTGGCACTTCTTGTAACCTAACATCACACCACACAACATCTAAAAAATGTTCACACTGTTATCACTCTGACACACTACCCTCTGTCAGACACCTTCTTACACTCTGTGCTCCTGCAACCCCAACACAAGAGCAGTCACGCAGCCAGCAAGCAAACGGCAAAACCTCTAATAAAGGAGCGCTCCTCGACCAACACGTGGCGAGCTTGCTCATCCGCACTCCACCCATACGGAATAGTGTATCCGGTACACGCACCAGCGCGCACTTGCCCGGATCTGTAATGCTGGATCAATCCTGATTATAAAATTGTCGTGTAAACGTGGCTACTTTTACTCATGAGGTTGGATCGCTATTTTATCATGAGGAGCTGTCTATTTTATCAAGAGGCGGTCCTATGTATGAGTTAGGGTTTCCAAGAGATTTCCTTGCTCTAAAAAGTTTTCCTTGCAACCATCCATCAGCACACATCGAGCGACGATGACACTAGTAGTGTACGTGTATCCTGCGCAGTGCGCCAAAAAAGAGCGAGCGGAGCGCTCCGACGCACACGCGCCCACCAGTAAACTAAAGAGGAATGCTGTTGGTGAGCTGCTGAGCACATAGCAGGTCAACTATTGGCGCATGGCGGAGCGCATTATGCGCGTGTGCGAGCGTTGAATATTTGCGTGTATTTAGAATGACGCATTACGGACAGTCACACGTAGTCTCATGCCCAGACCTCACGTCTCCGCATGCGCCAGCCTTCATGTCACATGATAGTTTCGAATCCGGCGATCTGATTGGGTTACCGGTTTTCCGAACATGCTGACTCAGCACAACCAAGAAATCTGACCTTATATACCAGGGGTTCTACTAAACCAGAAACGGTAAATTTGGAAATTGGATATGCGGAAATAGGGAAATGGGGAAACAAGGATTGAGGCTCGCTTTGCTCGCCAATATACCGACCTCACGATAACGTAGTGACAGCACGTAATCCGCGTACTATTTTTGACACTGATACCACGCCATACACACCCTCACGCAAGGAGAGGGAGTCTGGTCAAAACTGCTATAGTAGAGTTGTGCCGCTTCAATGGCTTCGATGATGTACTCTTGACGTAACCTCAGCATGGACTAAGTGGGTGATGTGTAATGGGAATAATATTGCACACACACACGTGTGTTGAAAGGCGGTTCACAAAATGACGCTGGATGTAGTAGCCCACATAGCATAAACAGGCGCAACGATTGGCAAGGACTACAGGATGAGCATTAGGCGCACTGGACATGTACGCATGCGGTAACACCCACTTATTGCGCTGCTGAAAGTCGGCGCGTGAAAAACTAATAATTGACGCAACTCTACTATAGCAGTTTGCCAGACCCTCTCTCCTTGCGTGAGGGTCTGGCTAGCGAGACTATTTTGAAGAGTGGGAAATGCTATTTACAAGAGGCCATCATTCTTTTGAGCTCTGATTCAGCAAAACAATTCTACCACGATGTCTGCCACATCTTTAAAACTGAGATTACAATCGCTAAAATAGGACCAGTTGACTGGACCTCTATTACGGCTTTCGTGCAACTGTTTCTGGAGCACTGAAATTGCCTTGACTAGAATGCCACTCCAGCGTGTTAGGTGGAGTACGCACTAACACAGATAGCTAACTCTAGCTCGTGATGACAGCATCAACGTTTGTGTGTTTTTTGGGGTTTGGGTTGGTGTGTGTTTTGCTGGACTTGTTTTAAGCACCACTCTGCCAGTGTCGGTGGTGCACGTGAGCAGCGTCTTGATTTGTCAGCAGGAATAGACAGGGAAGTACACACTGAATAATTAATCAGACATGCAGTAAACGTGTGTCAGTGTCTTGTGTCTCAGCTCCCGCACTGTAGTCCGGACCAGCAATCCGAAGACTGCATGGCTTTCCTGGCTAACAACTGCGTCAAGAGCGTCTTTCTAGACCTCCGAGAAACGTCGCAGAAGCAGAGGTCGCGCTATACTTTTGCAAGTCCACTGAGTCAGCAGTCCACCGGTCCATTGAGAGTGGTTCGTTAAGTACGTGTAATTTTCGAAGTTATGGCCGAAAAATTAGCACATTCTTTATTCATCAACCAGCACTCCACTTGCTTGCATCTCCTTGGAGGCTCCAGGAGTAGTTTACTCGAGATGTTATAGCGACAAGAGCAGAGCCTACCTAACCCCATCAATTAGCAGTACCGCCTGTGCATGGATATGAGTCATTCTTTTTGTGTGATTGGGAAAGTAGATATTTTCAACGCATTGCCCATTCAGTTGGGCTAATATGCCCCAGACAATTGCAACGGCTTCAGCAAGCATTAAGTTGCACAAGCATGTTTTCCAGGAAGGGTCTTTAGTATTTCCGCTCTTTTGGCATAAGTTTGCACTCACTCCCCTGGACATGGCTTCAAAAGGCACTGGCTTTGTGGATTCTTGTAAATTGTTTCTCCATGTTTCACGATTCTCCTGAACTAAACCTAAAACCACAAATAACACTTTTAAGTTTTTTTACATAGCCCATGTGGCCATGAGGAAAGCCCCGGCAACAACTAATTTGTTGCCTTTTACAGAGTGACTAGCTTCCCTTCAGAGAGAGTATAGAATGTACGTAATGTTATTACACCTTTTGGAGTGGTGTTGCTTGTTTATCCGCCCGACTCCCCGAGGGCGGATAAACCGCAACACCACGACAAAAGGTGTAATAAAATGCTTATTACCGTTGATTGGTCGTTGCTGGGGAAACCACGTGCAATAATGGCGCATCCACCCAAATAAGGCGATGCGCGTGAACACCTGCGCATAACGTGTCGTTCTATCTTATTACGCGGCTTGCCAGGCGAACACTGACAGATCGAGGGAGCGATCTAGGGAGCGAATGGCAGAGACTTTCCATTTGGAAGTCGAGGGTTGGCATTCTGAGACGTCGCTGCAAGACTCCGCGTCCGAGAGTAGCGCTCCTGGGGACGGGCCATCTTCATCGAAAAGGCGTAGGCTCTCGCTATCTCTGACAAGAAAGAGGGCTACGTGCACTACTTCCACAGCTACAGAGAGGTTTGCACGTAGCCCTCTTTCTTGTCAGAGATAGCGAGAGCCTACGCCTTTTCTACGCCGGCGGCCCGTCCCCAGGAGCGCTACTCTCGGACGCGCAGTCTTGCAGCGACGTCTCAGAATCCCAACCCTCGACTTCGGAAAGCCTCTGCGATTCGCTCCCTCCTCGATCTGTCAGCGTTCATAAAAACATTGATACCCAACCCTAACCACAGTGGATATTCTCACCTTCTCACCCTCTTGGGTGGGTAGTTGATTTATTGTGCTAAAATAAACATAGCAACGACCTAGCAACGGGTAATAAATAAGTTTTATTCGTTGCTAGGGAACTAAGCACTAACAGAGTTCTCACATATTCCATGTGAAAACTAAGAAGTAGAAAGGCAAAGGCACAACAAACAAATCAACTACACCCAGGACAGCTCTTTTTTTCCAAGGAAGAAAGAAGAGCTGCCCTAGGTGGGATTCGAACCCACGACACTAGCGCTCTACCAACTGAGCTACCAGGGCAACTCAGCTGGTAGGGGTTCGAATCTACAACACAATACAACACAAGGCAAACCTCAAACTAGCATGCAAGAACTTCTATCCCATTGTGCTTCCTCAATGGTCAGAGAATATCTAGGGTTGAACAACCAATTTGATCCATGCTCAGATAAGTTCACACACTGCAACAGTACCATTGCTCATGTAAGCACAAAGAAAGACTTGTAGACTCAGTGTCCATGTCAACGAAACAAGTAACATCGACATAAGAATCTTGTTATTATTACTGGGGAACGAAGCAAGCCCAACTAGTTGGTTTAATGTGGGATTTACATTATGTTGTGACCCGCACTGCTGCTGCACGTACCGTAATTATATAGTAGATTTTAATTACACGCGAAACAAGCGTGAAATATTTAACTCTAATATTATGCTGTTATAATTGTGATGTTCTTACCTTAGCCAGCGTAGATGGTCTTTTGGGCTCTTGGGCGCAATTTTCTCGCTCCAGTGATTGCGCATGTGCACAATTTGGTCTGCTGCTGGTGCTAGCCCTCGGTTTAGCTCAAGGTCTATCAGGATGAATATTATGTGTATCTGTACCTTCCTGTGGAAGTTTGACACAGGTTGTACCACATATATAGCTTGTAAGCATCCATTCTGCGTTACATTGGTTTCCTTTCCTTTTCAGGTAAATCGCAAACAGCACATCAGCCAGCCATTGTTCCTGAAAAACCATCTGACACTGGGCAATGGTCAGTTGCAGGGAAAGGGAAAGGGAAGAGAGGTGGTAGCGATAAAAGGGGCGAGCCTTTTAGGGGGCCAGCTGAAAGGGACTTCAGCCAAAAACATGAGGGAGCTTCACTCAAGGATGGGCAGCAGAGCCATATGCAACAAGGTCAGGGTGGTGGTCAACCACAGCAAGCTCAACGTGGGACCCAGCCAGTCCCTGCTCGATACTCCCTCACTCCATATGAAGGCCCATCAGTTGGAGCTACAGCAGGTATACTCATTTGCATTTCAAATTGCGTATGCTTAGGTGTTCTGCAAGTAGACATAATTATGTGTAACAAGATGAGATTATCATCCTTTCTTTTGCAGGTAGGACCCCAACAGTAGCAATCAAGAAGCTGCCACCTCGCCCTGGTCTTGGTACGAGGGGTAGGCCAATAAGGCTTCTGACTAACTTTTTCAAGGTGGAAATTCCCCCTGACCTTACCTTGTACCACTACGATGTGGTCATTGAGCCAAATGTTCCTCGAGCTATTAAGAGGAAAGTGATGCAAGGAGCCAAGCTACAACACGACTGGGTATTCTCAGGGCAATATCCAGTGTTTGATGGAGAAAAAAATCTTTACTGTCACAAAAAGTTGGAACGCAGCCAGGCATGTGGCTTGATTGTGTGTAATATATGTACATTTATGTATAATTGTATCTGTGCATGAAGGTGGACGTGGAAGTTAGTATGGAAGACAGAGGAAGAACAAGGCAGTTCAAGGTACATATTGATATTGTTTGTAGCCCACATCTGTATGTGTGGTGTTGCAGGTGGTGATCAAGTATACTGGTCACATCGTTGAGTGTGGTACTATTGAGAAGGTAATTTGTGATCCCGCTCAAAGAATGGATGCCCTGGCTGCCTTGGATCTGGTGCTAAGACAAGGAACTGTTCTGAAACCTGAGTAAGATAAAATTATTAGTGGCATTGGTTTGATTAACAACTTGCACTTTATTACCACAGTGAGGGCTTAATATAGTGCTACTAACAACTACCTAATTACCACGTCTCATATGAAAAGCACTAAAGTGCAAACCCTTGGCGCACTGCGCATGCACGGTGCCACTAATTGATGGGCTGGGCTTTTAGTATGCACTAATACCACTAATTGATACGTTGGCCAAAGTGTATGCGTTTACCTCGTGGTCTCCACGCTAGTAGCCCGTTGAGAGTGTGACACTGGCTTGCGGGAGTCGTTACACGCCATTAGTTTTGGCCTCCAAGGTATATAGAGCGAGCAGATCAGGTCGCGGTAAGCCCTGTGCGATTATGCATATTGGCTTTTTCGCTTGTTTTCACGGCATATCTCTCAAACGATGTCGTTTGAGGAAAATCGCCTTTTCATTTTTCAGGCTCGCGTAGTTAATAGGCGGCCTTGTAGCCTGTAGTGCCAGAGTAAGTGTTGCTTAATATAGACGGACAAGCCAACTACTGTAACCCTCGTGCATACGCGCCAAGGGTTAATAACAACCTATCTAGGCTTCTTAAGGAGCTATCCCTCTAACCTCCTTACCTCATACAGCATTAAGCAGACACCTCCATTTGAGCACCTACAATCAGTATGTCACATCCCTCTATGTACATAGATAGAAAACTGCCTCCTTTTAGCGGCCAGCACTGCATGGAAATGCTTCATGCAATGTGTAAAGTAGTCACATAGCCTTCCTGCTGTGTCTATAAAGAACCAGAGAGGCTCAGGCTTGTCTAGACTGTTGTAGATGTACTGCTTGTCAGGGCTTTAAGGGGGAACAGTTTATACATATGACTGTGCATTAACCAACTCATGTACACACTTGGGACAACCCAAAACCCTGCAAACACCTTGGTCAGTGACTCCCTATGCCTGAAATAATACACAGGTGCACGGCAGATCGTAGACATTTAGATACTTACATATAATAAGCAAAATTGCCTTCACACTGCACGTTGGTTACACACATTACTGTCATTTTGGATTGTCTCCTGTGGCACAGTACATCATTTGTATTATCTCTTATAGCACAGTACTAGTAAATTCACAAGAATTGTATGTGATCTCCTCGGATCTCTGTGCAGAGCGACGATCTGAGGTTGAACAACAAATTCCACAGATGGTCGAGATCCGTACTTTACACCTAACAATACACATTTTGATGGAACTGTTGTCCTCAAACCTTAACTAAAGGACTACGTCCATTGAACAACCACATTTGCTTGACTCGTAGGTCCCCACTTAATGTACAGTAGTAAATCCTTGCAAAAGATACTTCTTGAGGGTGTAATTTGGTCTATCCTCAGTGTTGTTAGTGTCGGACAGTCGTTCTTCACACCATCCCGGAGCAACACTGTTACTCTTGGTGATGGGAGAGAGGTGTGGTTTGGCTACCGCCAAACAGCCAGGCCTTCCATGTGGAAGACTGTCCTACTCAATATTGACAGTAAGCTTATTCTATGTACGTATGTCCTTTCCTGTTTGTCTACACGGAATGGGGAATAACAATTCAAGAACCTATGTATTTCAGCGACCTTTGTACATTTGTGTGAATTAAACTGGTGATAGGTAGAAGTGCTAGGAGCCTCAGTTACAAGCCCTATACGTAGTATTTGCTCACTGTGCGGAGGTTCAGTAAACAGTCCTAGTGATACAAAATTAGTCCATTGTTGGTATGATGCCAAAGTAGCCTCATTCATGCCTGTATTTGATTTTGCATCAAACCACTAGTCAGCAAACCACGTCACCTGAGATTTAATGCTTTTTCAAAATTGTGACTGTTTCTCTGTCAGTTGCAGCTACAGCATTTTACAAGGAGCAGCCTGTATTGGAATTTTTGAAGGATATTCTGTCGGATGACTTGCAGAGAGATGGCAGATATGATGGGGGAAGGAGGGGGGGTGGACGAGGTGGGAGGGGTGGTGGGAGGCAAGACAGAGGAAGTGGGGGACATGTTGAAGTACCTCAGCAACTGAGTGAATATCAAAGAAAAAGGTTTTTGAAAGAAATCAAAGGTCTAGCCATGTCAAATACCCATGCGTAGTTGGTTACAGTCATATTTTTGTCACTTTCAGGCCTGAAAATCGTTGTGACCCACCTTTCTTATCCACGGCAGTATAAAGTGGATAATGTTCCTTCAAAGACAGCTTCTGAACAAACGTATGTTTATATAGATAGTGTATCAAAATGTCTGTCAAGTATTTGGAATACAGCAGTATTACACAGAGCTAACAGGCCTGTCTACATGTAGTCAGAACTGGAGATGAGCATGGTCAAAACCAGACCTACATGTAAACTGAACATCTCGCGCTTTTACATGAAGAAGGAGAGTAAGAAAGAGGAGGAGGGCATGCATTAAAAAACTTGCATGCAACCCTACAGGATCCACCATGCACTCTTTCTCCATGTCCTCACAACCATATTCTAAATCAAGCATGGTTTGGACCCAGCACTTATTTTAGCTCACTTCTTTGCAAGCTTGTCTATTTTAAAACAAGGATGCTTTTTAAGAAAGAAAGCCTCTCTGTGGCTGTATGTGTTCAACTTGTCACTATTATCTGTGCGTGTTGGAAGCTACACATGCTTGATTTACTGAAGCTCAAATTGGGAAATTTCTTGCCGCATAGGCTAAAATTGCTCAGCTTGACTCAAGAACAAACGTGTGTACCGTGGTGCAAGGTAGTGAATTGATTATCTCTTACCAGCTTGTGCATAATCTTCCTCTGTATGGTAATATGCATAATCCCGCTGGGGTTACCACGACCCGGTCTGCTCGCTCTATGCACTTTTGAGGCTCAAGAAGTCACAACTATGGCCGTTTATCAACTCCCGCATGCTATCTACTAGTGTAGTTAGCCCGTGTCAGACTCTCCGCGAGCTACAGTAGGAGTCAAAAAAACCTTTCCAGTTTCGTTCCGTTCAGTTATGAATTCCGCGTGCCACGCCCTCCGCAAACGCGGTAGAGACTCGCTAGCGGGGGAGCGAAACAAGGTTTTTTCGTAGCACAACGCGAAACAACGAGAATGCAGTACCTACGTAGGTGCTAGAAGAAATATCTTCACAGTGAGGCCTTCGCATCTCGCGAATTACGGCCCTCGTGCGAACGCATGTACGGCAACGATTCTAAACAGAACGGAGCGAATTCCAACGGTAAATGAACGGCATTTCAGAAGGGAACGGAACAGAATTGGAAACGTTTTTTTGACCGCTACTGTACTAGCGTGGGGACCACGAGTAAATGCATACTCTTGGCCCAACCCATCGATTAGCGGTACCGCGCATGCACAGTTCGCCAAGGGTTTGCACTTTAGTGCTTTTCATTCTTTGCAGGTTTACTCTTACATTGGACAATGGTCAGGAAGTTGAACGTACTGTTGAGAGATACTTTGCTGATACCTACAATATCAAGTTGAGGTATCCAAACCTCCCATGCCTGCATGTTGCAGCAAAGAACAAAAACGTGTACCTTCCTCTCGAGGTTAGAATTTAAATTTCCGGATAAAAGTTCGATTTTATACCACCAAATAGTGTTGTAAGATTGCCAAAGGTCAGAGATGTAGCAAGAAGCTGACAGAGATGCAGCTAAGAAACATGATACGACATACTGCCAAGCCTGCTGAAGAGAGGAGACAGGACATCTTGCGTAATGTAAGTAATGGTATGGCCCATCTTTACGAGTGTGCTCTTTTAATACGAGTGTGAAATCATAATGTGTAGCACAAAAGATAAAGCTAATGGGGGCCTAAGAATATGCATGTAGTAATACACAAACACCTATTGCTACTATAATAAATTGCGGCTATTGATAAGCATCCAAATAGCTGTAAAATTAAAATAACTTGCAATATGCAGAATGCAGTTGTTTGATTCAACTGAGTAGTTGCATAGTGCTCCTTAGATCATAAGATACACATTGACTCATGGATTAGTTTGATTATTATACGTACAGTACCTGGCCAAATCGCTAACGTAACAGCCGAGTAAATTTATTGCAATGTGTGTTGAAACACACAGGCCTAACCAATATTTTGCAAGGGCACATGCACAAACTTTGTGCGGACCCAGCTCTCAATGACCGTGTAAAATAATGTGTGTAAAAGCGCGCACAGATGGCAACGGTTGCGAAATATCGCGCTTTTACGCACTCACGCGGGAAGTCACACCAATTTATGCAGACTTAGTGTTCACGCGTAGTAACGCGCGACGGCGTGCTCCACCCGCAATCGCCGGCGTACACCCTACGCTCGGGGTATTTCGCGAAGTTTTTTAAGCAAACGCTCATTCGCGCAAAACCGCGTACTGACACACCCACGTTTGTGCGGAACAGCGCTCTAGAGTGTAAATACTTGGGGGTGCGACCGCGCTTGTTTACGTTTAACCGCGTAATGACATGCCCATGGCGTGCGTAATAGCGTGTGACAACGCGTAGTAAAGCACCGCGAAATAATGTGCCTATACCTGAGTTTGTGCGCTTTGTTTTACACGGGTGACTTATATGCCCATAGCTAGACTTATGCAAAGACAAACTGCGTTTTTATAAGAACCTCACTGTACACAAAATGCATTCAGTTACATACCTCTGTACATGCTCCTGCATGCTAAGTGAGAGGTTTGAGGTTTGCCTAACACACAGGGGGCAGCTCTTCTTTTTTTCCATGGAGAAAAAGAGTTGTCCTGGGTGCATTTGATTTGTTTGCCGTTGCTTTTCATTGACCTTGTTGTTGACATTCTTATTTAGAGTCATACGTAGGAGATAGCGCATGCCTGTATTTAAAATGCAGCATCCACCATTGGATCCAACATATAGGGATGCGCTCGATTTTGAAGAATGATGGTAAGTATGGAACAGCATTATGAATAGTCGTTACCTTTGCAATGCAGGGGCCATGCGCTTACTCGTGGTCTCCCGCTAGTACAGCTTGTGGAGAGTCTGACACGGGCTAGCTACAGTAGTATATAGCATGCGGGAGTCGATACACACCCTTCATTGTGACTTCTCGTGCCTTCAAGATACACAGAGCAAGTGGACCCGCTCGAGGTAAGCCTGTTCAATTAGCATATTGGCTTTTTCACTCGTGTTTCACGCCGTAACTCCCGAACGCAGCAGATTAGGAGAAAACCTCACATATTTTTCGACCTATACCCGACGCTGAATACGTGGTATTGTTTGTGGAGCGATTGATCGCTTGTGAAGTGAGATGTCGAGTAACGGACTGGCAGACTGACAGACTGACAGACAGACACACACGACAACTACAGTAACCCTCGCTGCGCTTGCATACTGAGGGTTAAAAATAGATTTATGAAAGTTTCAGCCATGCTATCGATAAATAGAAACTCCCTGGAAATTTTGTCAAACCTTAATGTGGAACTTAATATTCTGGCTTTAGAAGCTCTGCCTAACATTGCAGGTCCGTGCTGCGGATTTTGACAGTGATCTTGTGTTGAATCAGTATGGTCTTAAGGTCCACAAAGAGATGGAGAAAGTGATGGGGAGAGTCCTATTACCTCCAGCCATTCAGTACAGGGAGAAAAATGTACGATATATGGACCTGTACATATATACAAAATGTGTTGATTACAGGATGTGTAGATGTCTATCATATAGACAACGCAAAAAATAGTATGTATACTGTTTTGATGTGCGTATGTATAAAAAAAATATGTATTTTCTCAGGTTGTGCCAAGAAATGGTGCATGGAATATGGAGCACCGTCAGTTCTGTAAGGGCGTTGATATCGGATATTGGGCTGTAGCTGTTTGTGCTCCAAACAGACCACCACCTAAACACGAGATCTTGTGAGTAGTGTTGTAACTGTGGGGTTATTATATTTGCTGGCTTTTTGGTAGGTTGTCAATTTGTTAGACACTCACGTTCCTTTTACAGGGACTTCATGGAAAAGCTTGCCAGGCACAGTCAGTCATTAGGAATGAAAATCACTGAACCTTGTGATGTGGTCTTTCAGCCGAGGGGTAAAGCAGTAGGGCGATTTCTTGAAGATCTCGTCTCAAAGTACAAAGGTCTACAACTTATTGTGGTAATTTTGCCGAAGAAGGGGGCAGACTCAGGATATGGTATGTGACCTACAGCAGCACATTACATTCATTGTGATATGTGATAGGCTCTGAGAAAACAACCCTTATCACGCACGTAGTATTGTTGTAGTAGCGGTGAACTACATAATTCACCGATTCCCGTTTTCCCTATCTATGATCTATAATCTGCGCCAGTCTGACACACTAACTCCGTTCCGTTCAGTAGTTATGGCCCTGGGTATCGTATAGAACGGCATTGCGCGCGGTTTCCATTCGGTTTTTGGCTGAATATGACGAAACCAAACGGTATTGTATTGAACGATAACGAAACGTTTTTTTACGCATACTGTATCTTGACCAGTTTATGCCCATTTCGTGGACTGGTGATGCATCATAATATGTTACACAAGTAGATTTCTTCCATGAAAAGTATATATATAGCATACTAGCCACAGAGAATAGAAAAATGAAAACCAGAAGTCACCCTCCACCCCCCATCCTCCACCCATACACAGACACAAACAACACAGTTGCACACAACCAGTAGGACACCAGGTGCCCAGCCTTGAAAACTGGGGCGGTGGGTTAAAGAGCCTTTTATGGCATGCCAACTCTCCCCACACACCTAGTGTCCAAACCGAATGACAAACAATCACAATGACAGTTACTATACATAGGCAGTAGAAAAAATATAAATATATTTGTGTATAAAAATGTACGGGTCCTCCATGTTTTGATTTGGGTTTTGTATATACGCGCAATTATTTGCTGCCATGCAGGCTTGATATGCTCCTTGTTGAGATCACTAAGTACGGTAGTACTTAGTATGGTAGTACTTAGTATAGAAGTAAATTAAAAATCATGCGAATTTAAAAAAAAATAGTGCATATAGGGATCGTATAAAAAGAAAGGGAGACAAGATAGGGATGGTGTTTGTGGAAGCACAGAGATGCTAGCGAGGAGTTAGGACTCCCACAGGTCATTACAACAGCCCTATATCGTCGTACGGTGGGAGTACCTAGCATCATAGATGTATGGGGCTATGATAGGGAAAGTTTTCAATCTTCTTCGTAGGGTGGGAGTGGAAGTGATGAGAGAGTAGAATATTGCTATAGGTAATGAAATACTTACTAATTACCTTTGATAGATTTGTCATGCTACATTTCCATGGAGTGCCATTTAGGTGGAAGTGTAATCAGCTGACCATAACATTGGATATACATGTATTGTGTAATGCAAGAAAACAAAATTCAAGTATGCAAGGTTGGCTGATATATTCACGAGGAAGTAGTAAAGCACCGATACAACGATATAGGACTGTTGTAATGACCTGTGGGAGTCCTAACTCCTCGCTAGCATCTCTGTGCTTCCACAAACACCATCCCTATCTTGTCTCCCTTTCTTTCCAGCTACGTAGAGTACGATCGAAGGGCCAAGGAAAGCCCGATGTCTCGAATTGCAGCGGCGATACGACATCAACGATACGATTCAATTTTGTCCGTGTAAACGGGGCTTATGATAGGGAGTTTTGTTCTTCTTCTTCTCCTTCTTCAGATTCAACACCCATAGCTAAAAAATGAAACAACATATGTGACCCGCTCTGGGAAAAGGTACCACTTGGCGCAATAATTCAAAATTGCGTTACGCATACCGTTCGAAAGCGCAATGCAAGCTGCTTACAACGAAGAAAACCGCACCTTCGTAGCTGCTTCCGTTCGAACGCTATACGCAATAACGCGCGCACCCTGCCGCGGGCGTTATTTCAAATAATTGCGTGCGGAAATTTTATGACGCGGAGGCAACGCCCACAACTACGAGGAGACGCTGCTGGCGCTACGAGCGGTAGATCGACTTCGTTCCAATGCGAAAAGGTAGATGCTAGGTTATAGTTTTCATCTGTGTCACATATAGTAATGAAATTTTGTAA